CCGTACGAACGCTATTGATTAAAATAAATGATGACCTATAAGGACTTCATTCAAGCCCAAACATTTACCCAAATTCTAGCGATTACATCTCCTAGCCATAGGTGAATTTGTAATGACCGACGACAAAAAGCCTAACTTATGCATTCGCAATACAACAAAAGAACTTGAACGCTGTGGTAGGGTACATTCTTGTCGTAGATTAAGGGTACTCAAAAATAACACATTGCTATTATTTCTGTCAAAGCGTGATGTCGATTCATATGACTGAGAGTCCTAATGTATTATCTAGCATGATGTTAACGTGAGACGAACAAGTGAGTAAATGGAGGTGTAGCGATCGTAGAACTATTTCAGTTATATTGAATAATGCCGCCAATTACTTTCTCAGGTCCCAATTATAAGTTAAGTCTTCGTCTCGTCATGACAACGAATTTATTTTCACTCAAATAGAATAAGAAACGTATAGTAAGCAGGATGCAAGATGTATTTAATGAAAAATAATAACAAGCTGATGTCTATACAGGATTGCTAGAAGGGTCACGTTCATTTTCACTAATTCTCCCTTCATGGATAACAGCGAGCATTAACTGCATTTGCTTAAGCATTTTAATCTGAACACCACGAAGTCTCTCTAGATCAGCCGTTTAACAATAAGTGGCTAACAAATATGAGTCATAAGTGCAACTTTGATATCCTTTATAGCCATGGACATCTCCTGAAGCAGCTCAAAATACCTTGGTGATCTGAAGGCGAATGATTGTTAGACCTGGAATAACTTATATAACAGGTGAACTAGTGATTGGAAGCACTTGCAAGCTAAATCTTGATAGAAGAGTAGTACTAATTGTAATCAGTGTTACATTTCAGAAGGACCATTCATTGTGTTATTCTTGCCCCAATGCACACTGACTTCCAGATAAGCTGATGCCTTTTAATGCAGTAAACATAATAAACACAATAAACCAGCCCTAGCCCTGTGAAAAGCAGCACCTCCGCTCACGTATTGTATGTAACAGACCTCAAATTCCTCTCACATCGGGAAGTGAAGACCTCGAGGTGTTAGCATTTCTTAAGCCACCGTTACTAAGGTGCAACTTAATAGGTATAAGTGCAAACTTCTCTTGTGATAAGTTCCTCGAAGTGTGAAAACACGCTAACTATTTAGCAGATGTGTTTTGGAAATGTCACTACAAGAAATATGTCTGCTTATCACGACAGAGACGCAAATGATTGGACATTGGTTGGGATATACAGGTCAGAAAGTCAGTTATCGTTGTAATAAACTTTACTGGCAGGAATCAGTTGTGGCTCAGACTTGTGCGACGAGTGCTACCTAGTAAAGGTGTTTAAGTTGGATGGGTGGAAGTGAAGACAGCTATGGGGATACTTTCAGGCGATACTAAGGAGGTTTGACTTTTGAAAGCCACAGATGATAGGCATCATTAGGGGCGCCTAGGAGTACTGTTTTAAGTCCTAGATACCTAGGTAAATGGATAGTTTAGGTAGGTGCCAGGCGTACTATTGTAATTCCTGTCAAACAACGGAGCAGTTTATATGATTTTAGTATGTGCCTGTTGTCTAATCGATTGTTTGTACACATATATCGAATTCATATGGATTATCAATGAATTTCTCCCCCTGTGTGGGTAGGCCATATTTTAGTTCTCCAGACCACTAGTTGATTAGTGTTCACTTTAAACGTGCATTATCATTTATTGTCGTAATTCCTATCAGTTGATGTGTTGTATGCAAGTGATCGTGTGGACGTGATTCATTTTCATAACGTTTTTGCTACTGATAGTGTACATGTCAGAACGAGTGTAGACTTCGATAAAGGGGTGAAGTGCTGTTATTGTTAACTGTTTTGAAAGGTAACTGACGTCCTTTTGGTGTGAGTTTTTGCGTATGAAATCGGGCTTTTAGATACTGAGTTTGTACTTTGCAAACCTTCCATTTTTATGTAAATCAGACGATTTCGGAGTTCATTCTGGACGGTTATGTAGCGGATCAAAGAGGCTTTTGAAATCAGTCGAACCTTCAGCGACCAGTTTGTTTAACTGTTTGGAGTGAAGCACGTGGTGGACTGCTGGATATTCAGGGAACATGGGCGCAACCAGTCCTTGAGACCACGAGTTATGTTCGCCAAGGATGTTGCAAGGCGTAGGATAACACGAATAGTAATATCCTGTGTTGTAAGAGTGAGACAAGAGTTTTGAATCCTTGGCACCCAAAGGTGGGGCGGTATTATCAACCACTTGTGGCCAATAGGCGATGGAATACAACTCTTGACAGCATTTTATAGGTCATTGGAAGATGCGGTGATGGAACATTTTAAGCGGAACGCTCTACAAGGAAAACTGTGAAGGGGAGGACGGAGGTAATGTGGCCCCACACTCCAAAAGAAACTTCCGGCAATGATTAGCCGGTAGGCAAATTCGAGGAGTCACTCCGTTGTGGTATGACTTTATATGAGACTTTGTTCTTAGTCAGTGGGGATAAATAATCTTTTCCCAAGAAATGCAACAGAAGCAACAGTTAACTAGGCCATTACTGCTGGTGACCTCAGTACACCATTCAACACCAGTGAGAAACCTACCTATTGGTCAGTCTTCTACAAAGATCCGCTGAGCGTCACCAAGACCGTTGGTCTCTAGTGCACCGCTGAGGATGATACACATTACAGAGGTGAGGTTATATACTTACAAGCTACCACCAACTTATAAGGAATGTAAAAATTGAGCCTGGAGGAGTTGAGAGCAGTCATCTGGCGTTTTCATTTAACTTCACTGCTAAGGAAAACTCCTCTCTGGTGCCTCCATAGCGAGGCCGACCCTTCACAGAAGTGAAATCTTTCTCCAGCACCACTCACTGAAAGAAAATGAATACTAGGGGTGGGTGAGTTCTGTTATCAGTTGGGCAGCCAATGATTCCTTTAATGTGATATAAATTCCCCCTAAAGGAACTCGTGGATGAAAACGTTTCACTGAGTGGTCCCAGAGGACCAGGTGAAGACCATGACCAAATGAGGACTCTAGTGTACCAAATTAGACTGCAATAATATGCACGAAAATACACGTCGATTCGCGGCTCAGAGGAAAAATACTAGTATGGAAGGGTGATCTTAGAAACTGCAGATGTGGATCTCCTAACAAATCAGAGATAACTCAGACTTTTAGTGATTCATACGACAGGTAACTTCATAATAATGATGCTAATGGTATGCACTTCAGTGTGAAATTTTGGGTAACCCAAAAAGTATGGCCCAGTATAGAGCAGCAGAAACCATGCAGTTTAACTTTACCCTCTACAGTCTAACAAGTATGGAATTTCTAGATGGCTGAGGTGGCTTTCACCGTCAGTCGGTTGATAAATAACTATGAGAAAACGAAAAGTCTGCACACATCGATGAGGAGAGCAACCTATTTCTGATGGACTGTTGTGGTAATGCAAACAAACCACTTTCTCAGTTTGTTTGTTTTATTTGTATCCTCCATAGTACTCTTTCATTCGGGATTCCTCGTTTTCTTCCCTCTCTCCTTGGCCGACGTCTCTGATATGGGATTATGTTGGTCTATCTTCAGTTCGCTTTCCGCTCACTCACTCTCCTGTAGGGGTAAATAATTCCCCAAAATTATTGACCACAGCAATCACTCACCATTGGATGCTGACCACCACTGTTTAAGTCGACTTATTTAGCTGAAGGCTTCCGGCCAAGCATCCCCGCCATTTGGTACCCCGTTGTGTCACGTGCACGATCACTAGCTAGCTAAGCGTTTGCCTGAAGGCTTGTTTCGGTCCCGAAATATATCACGTAGTTTGCACGATCAAGTATTGGCTTTTGCTTTGTTTTTGGTACGCGAGAACTAATAAATTAGAAGTTGCTGTGTAAGAGAATTCCGTCAACCTCTAAACTCCTAACTTTCTTCTCTGACTGTTCTCACTTAATATGAGGGATTTTTTGTCGAAAATACCATTTAAATTCCCCGCTGTGATACCATCATTGGAAGCATCATACATTCATGACGACACAATAAGACGTAGTCCATCTGAAACGTGTGTGTTGTAGAAATTCATACATTCACATTATATATAAATTGAGCGATTGAGCTTTCTGATTTCAGCATTGAGAAAGAAGTCAAGGAGGTAGAGTTTTTGCGCTGCAATTTTCAAGAGGTTTACAGCTGTTTCGTGACGCTGAGAAGCCCAGTTAACAAAAGATAGGTTTATGTAAGCATAACACTGGGCCATAGTGTATCAATATATATCACCTTGGTTTGACACATCCAAAGCAAAAATATGCGTTTACTATCAATTGAACGCTAAGTCTTAATAGGGGTTTAAAGCTTACTACTCTTACATCTTCAAAATATGAAAGTGGTTGCCGTTTTGTTATTTCGCTCCTTCTGGCGCGAGATGTTGGGTCCTTCTTGTCCTCAAGGTCACTTGTTGACTGGCCAGTGTTGTTCTAGGCGGTTCGTTCTTAGTGGTTTTTTTTATTACTAGGCAGTAGCTGAGTGAACGAATTAACCGATTATTACTTGAACATTCGCCTCAAATAATAGATTTGAGTGCAAATCAATGTGTTCCCTCCTCTGAAACTCGAGTTTCAGGGAACCGCATAATTTTATCTCCCAAACTTCTCATTGGGACACAGGCAGCGTGGGAATTTTTACTGATGTTTGTAACTAAAGGTCTCAATACTTCTCAGTTCCATCTGGCGTTTAAACTACTGAATCAGGTGAGGAGTTCCAGTCGTTGACCACTCTGTGACATTCTGAATTCTACACGTATTTTATTTGACCTCGGTTTGAGCACCTTCTTGTTGTGACCTCGTAATTGTGTCCTTTTTCTAGTTGGGCCGATGTTTCGAGTTTCCATTTAAGGATTTCATGTGAGCTAGTTTTGTGCTTTACCTAGTGTGAATGCTGAGCATTGCAAAGTATGGACTGTCATCTTACATGATCTGCATAACTTGAAAATATTTCAGTACATTTTTGGAAATGGAGGTGTTCTCCACCAAACCTATTGGTATCATGGTTTGGCCTAGGTTTGGAAAGATACCTCATACCATACTTGATTTCCTCTTCAGAATTTCAAAATTTAAGCAGCTTGCTTTTAAAATCACTTGTAAGTTTCATTTTCCTATCCCTATAGCGGACAGTGCTACTACATTTTCAGAAATCTTTTGAGGCACTTGTTGAAATCTCGGTGCCCTTGGAAGTTACTCATATTTTGATTTCCTAGAGTTAATAATAGTAGTGACTGTATTCTAAACAGTACTTAAGATAATTCCTAATTTTCTACTTGTAATGTAATGTTGCATGTGTCTCTAAACGAGGCTGTTAAAGAGAAACATTTAAGTTTTAGGTAAAGATTCAGGTAATAAAGGATAATGGACTTCTGTGACCTGTGTTAATCCCTGCAATATATACCTCTGTGGAGATTCGATTTCTCTTCGCAGACATTCATCCATAGAGCTGATTAAATAAAGTATAATTATATTTTAATAGTTTACACACAATGATTAGTTTTGTTATTGGTAATATTTCGAGCAAAATTACCAATAACAAAACTTATCATTGTGTGTAAACTATTAAAATAGTTATACTTTATTTAATCTAATCCACAATGCTCAAACTTTTTACTGATGGAGCTGATATTACTTGATCGGGTCTGGAGTTACAGTCGTTGACCGCTCTGTGTATTTTATTCGTCCGTGGTTTGATCATCTTTTTGTAGTGGCCTCGCAAAGGTGTCGTATAAGGAAAGGAAAGGTCAGTCCCAAAATCACACTTTAATATACGATATGATAATGGAAAGAGGTCTAAATGGTCCATCTCTTCTCAGAAGTAAGGTGGTAGATACCACTGACTAATTTAGTTCCTACCATTTGTACTCTTCCCAAGACACGTGCCTCCTTCAAGCATAGATTAGCCTCTTGTATACATTATTTTAGGTGGGGCCTGACATGTTGCATAGAGTACTTTAGGCATAGACTCGTCTAAGAGCTTAAAAGCCCTTATAAGTGCACACAGCATTCCGAAAGCCTTGGCAACAGATGTTGAAACCAGCCAGTCAGCTGTATTGGTATGCAGTTATTTCCAAATTATTGCTGACAATAATTCTCAAGTTTTTCGTCCCTTAACACAAGGCAGTTGTTGATGAATGAATTAACTGATAATGACTTCAGCAACCACTTCAAATAAAAGGTTTGCGAGTACGACCTGTAGTTAATCTGACCTAAGTTCATCACTGCGCTATTTCTAGAATTAATGTCCAAACTGCAGTGATCGAAGCATTCCGTTAATTTATTTCCACTACTGCATGCCCTTAGGTGACTTAGAATGAAGTCATCGGCCTGGTAGACAAGACTTTTGTTAGTAACCTCGATTGTTACAGTACACTTATTCAAGTTTATAACACAACTTGCAGTTTCACTAGTGCCTATGTTATGCTCTTGTGAAACTTAACTAATTCCCATGTCTTCTCAGATGTATACAGTGAGCCCACCACCTTCTTGGTTAACTACTTTGTCTACTCTGACGCTGATATACTTTGGTATGGGTATAGTGAAGCCCACACCCATTAACAACCATGTTTCAGTAATAACAGTAATAGATTGTAGTCCTTCAGATAGTACTCCTAATTCAGGAAGCTTGTTCCAGCGACCACACGCCTTCATATACCAAATGGATACGTGTGTTCATTCAACTTATGAATAGAGGTCTTGGTGAAACCTCACCACCCAAGAACTCAATATCGTAAGGTCTTTTTCTTAACGAAGCCTCCAATTCCTCTACTGCTTTCCTCCCTTTAATTCCGTCCTTTAGGGGCAAATCAGACCTTATTCCCAACTTTTCATCCTTGATCTTAGATGCATTGTTGAGAATAATATTCTTTTCCATTTCATTCCCTGGTACTAGTTTTTTGTAATCGTCGAGAACTTTCAACGATTCTCGATGACCTTTCTCGTATGAACTCCGTTTGTTGTGTAGGGAAGTAAGTCATGACAAAGCCAACTGCATCGAAATCATGTGAATGGGGAGTAGCTGGATCCACATTCGATTCTTCCAAGTTCCATACAATGACACCAAGTGGAGTAAGGTTTTGAAACCGTACTGATGGCAGTAAAGACCTTAATAATAGATCCCACCGTCTTTTATTTTCTATAGTTTTCTTTCAACTTGGTTTTAGGTACTACCCAAGTGGACTTAGTTTCTTCTACTGCGCTGTCACCGCAACCAGGAGCCATCTGTTAACTTGACACGCTATGCTTCGTCATAGTAGTTTCGCGAGCTAGTCTTACAATGCTGGTATTACTCGCCCTCTTGGATTTTCAAGGTTTCTCACGTGTCTTGACAGATTTTTGAGTACACTGCACCTCTCTAGTGTTCATTACTTCAGGGTGTGATTCTGCCCCAATTTTATGGCTCAGCTCAAAGTTGTCATTACTGTCAGCGAGTTTTAGATGCTGACTTGTTTCTCTCATCTACCTTTTGACTAGTTTTCATCTTTGCACATTCGTGTATATTAACCTTCAGTTAACTTTATGAAACTGCGACATTGTCATTGTTTTTGAAGTTCAAATATTGTACATTTCATAATCTGTTTGTCATTGCGTTTTTAAACTCCTTAATTTTCTTGACTACCTCCAAATTATGGTAATAGTTGAATTTTAGGTGTGATATTCGAAACAACTGTTGGAGATATAGAACTTGATATGATTATACATGGAACCTTGTTGTCACGTTTCACACATCAGAAAACTCAAATTAGTGTCATAAAAGTGTTATTAGCCACCTTTATGTAGCCAAAATCTTATGACCAAGGGTGATTTCTAGATTTTCATGACGACTTCTACTGCTAGATTAATATTTCACATGATTACTACCCGTTTGTGGAGCTGTGACTTACTGGTGTAGGGACTTGTCTGTCGGCCATTTGGGTCGTTGGTTCGTACCTACCGAGGTGTGGGGACCCAATTGGTAACATTAGCCTCCACGAAATAAGTGTGGCTCATTATTAACTGAGTGCGTATGCAAATGGTTGTTAAGTAATATTAATTAATTAATTAACCAGTGTGTGAAGCGGAATTTTATGAATCGTACTTTGCGTTATTTTACACTTGCCGTACATTGATAGATAATTGACCGAAGTGGTTTGTTATTCTAAATGCACTATATCTGAAGTATTGTTATTAATATGATTACACTTAAGTCTTTTGGCAATTTAACGCCTTTTAGTGATGGAAATATTATACAACTATCCACCGAATCCTGCGGTTGGAACCTCAAACAATAGCGAAAATAGTCGTTCTGACCAGGAATCAGCTACAATGTCGGCTAAAGTACAAGATATGTCCGTGGCCCAACTGAGAAATTTCAGTTGTAGTGGTCCAAGTATGCTCCCTAGTCTCCCGAATGGCCATCTCCCTACCATCACTAATCAATGTAGTGCATTTGGAAACGTGTCGACAGAAAATTATCTCAATCATTCGTCACCGCGTATATCACCCTATCTCTTGGGAATGCTTCAGTGTCGGCCAGTATCTTTACCTCTTACAAGAAAAGTTGTAAAAGAAGGATGGCTTATGAAACGTGGTGAACATATTAAAAACTGGAGACGTCGATATTTCAAGCTGCGAGAAGATGGAACATTTTACGGTTATAAAAGTCAGCCTAAAGTTAGTTTACTCCCCTTAATATTGATAGATTTTACAATGTCACACAACCTTATGTAATGATATGCATTCTTTACAATCCGTAGCAGAAAACAGCAGACAGAATGACTAAGTAACGTTATCTTTGAAAATATTTTGGTGAATGTTAATGGTCTTGATAAATTAAAGTAACCTGCAAATTCCCTGCATTTTTCGTTGATTTTGGCTTTTAAAATTACTGAATTTCCTAGTCAGCATGCAGGGATGTGGGTTAACCCGAGTGTACACTGCACAATAAATCAACTGCATATGCTGCGTTTGCTTGCAGTCATATGTAACGTATGGTAAGTAATGTGGAAATTCGGTGTGTGCTTCTTCGATGATCCAGTTTATCGTTTCAGCATTGTATATTTACTTCAATCTATTATTGTGTTGAGTGGTAAGCAATTTCTTGACCAGTTTCAATAGTTGGTTTTTAATTAGACTGTTTGATTAAAAACGTACGGGTTTTTAGATTTGTTTCTAGATCATATTGCCTGGTGTGCATATGGTTGGAAACAATTGGTGACATGGCTCAAAATCGTTCTCAGTGGCGTAGATGCATCCACTCCTTGTGACTTATGACTTCCAATGAAACTGTTTTGTTCTTCGTTATTACTCTTCCTTTGTCTCACACCTCTGCTTACTGTCTCTATTATGCTTTTCTTGTATTTTCTTCTCTTGCTTTGTGTGCTACATGGAGTGTGGCGACTTGAACTTCCGCACATATATGCAAAGTTCTATGTCGAAAACAGACAGACAGACAGACTGGTGTGCATATTAAGAAAATGAGATAAAATATTACTTAACAACCTCTTGCGATCCTATACAGTTGACAATGAGTCACACCTATAGTGTGAGGGTTAGTGATACGTCCTGGCTGCCCATAGCATGATAGATAGAGCAGAGCTCAAACACGATCTAATTGGTCAGGCGTTGAGCGCCTAAACCAGTGAGTTACATCTCCTCATATGTGTATATTAAACTTGTAAAAAATCCTCAACTGATTGCTTATGTCTCATTGTATATTCATTGTGCTAAACCACAGCTTTTATCACCGGCATTCTAAAATGTTTATTTAGCTAGATGGAATTTTAAATGTTAGGTCTAGTTTATATATATATATATATATATATATATATATATATATATATATTTATGATGGAACTTCGGTACAGTTTGCAGTTTTATGAAGAACAAAATGCATTATTTATTAGTAGTTTTTGATTTAGTTCTGCCAACTCAATCACAGTGAATGCAACTAACACGTCCGTTTTAAATTCGTGTTTTAAATTCTGTATTTATGAAATTATTATACTTGGTTCAGCTCGATAAATATATTTCCCACTGGGCATTTATCTAAAGAAATACATCTTTGATGTAACAAAGGATAAAAATTACAGTAATGTGAGTACTGTTAATTGACGAAGGTATACATTTGACATCATGTGTACTTTTAGTATATTTTATTAATTTTTCATTATGGATTATATATTAGTACAAAGAAATGGCGAGTCTAGCCTACCGTGTGGTCCACTATACGTCACCAGCTTATCTAAATGTTAATTTCTTTTGTTTTTAGGATGATATGGCACAACCGTTAAACAATTTTACTGTCCGTGGTTGCCAAATTATATGCCTGAATAAACCCAAACCTTACACCTTTCTTATTCGTGGTTTGCAATGGACTAATGTAGTAGAGCGATTATTCTTTGTTGAAACAGAAGCAGAACGCAATGATTGGCTTGGTGCGATTCAAAGTGTAGCTAACAGGCTGAGATCCTCATGTGAAATGCCAATATCTGTGCATAGTGTGGACTTATCCGACAATGTTGTTGTTGATATTCCCCAAAGGTCAGTTTTTAAAGCCAAATAGGTGTTTGTTTTGTTAAAAGTGGTTTAAACCCTCTGTGGTTATAAAAAAAGATAAATGTCTTATATGAGGCAGCTGTTGTTTAAGGCCACTTAGTGCTACATATAATCATTCAAATCTAAGCAAAGGGTAACCGAATCCTTGTCTCATATATATATATATATATATATATATATATATATAACATGGTGTTGATGGTTTATTGGTAGATTGTGTTTGACAACTAGGCATTTGGGACAGGCTCAATTTACGGTCGACATACTCCTAAGCCTCACCTAGCCGGTAGTATGCCAGGTAAAGAGGGAAGGTTGAGTATGAGACTGGTAATTTCATCACGTAGAAACAGCATCACCACCGTTACTGAAACTTCAAAGCTCAAGATTGAACCCCTGTGTTCCCTCCAGAGCACAAGAATGATAAAAACATTTACAGTTACAAAATATTTATGTTAACACGTGTAAATGGTATGATGATGACCTCTGGTTTTATGGATAGAAAGTTATTCCAAGATATTTGTCTGACTTTATATTACTTTCTCTATAAATTTATTCAGTTTAATGAACTTAAATAAAGTATTCTAACCGAAAGGTACGAGTAATGTTTATCTGTTGTCTAGACTTTTGTACTTGAGTAAAAGCACTATGGTTTAGTCATTGTGTAGTTTTATACTAACGTTTCTTACTAAAATACTTAGCGTATAGTTCAGTTGGTTGATGGTTCGATTTCTAATTCTAACCTCATCGTAATGTTGTACGCTTTCTTCAACTTTAGTTATCATTCTTTTACGTTAAATACCATTTTTTTCAAGTATTTTATGTATGTTTCAACAATGACATATTGGTTTTCGCACAAGATAATGAACTGCATTTGTTGTGATTGTGCGAAACCGCCTAACCCCGTTAGGGTAACTTCATGAACTTCTGTTTATGAGTCTAATACTTCGACCAACATTTCTTAAATACTCTAGTTGAAAAGATGTAAGTTCTGCATCTCGTAATACGTAGTTCGCTTTTGATTTTTCTTTTCCACACGATCAGTACAATTCTAAATATGTGTATGAATGTGTTGTTGTTGGTGTATGTGACGAGTTGAATTAGTAAGAATTCACATATCATTACAAATTAATAAATGAATCAGTCTTTAAAGCCCAGGTTTTCTTGTGCATGTGACTGTGTATTAAGTCACATATTTTTATTGTCTACACAATTTCTTTTTTAAAATACTAACTGAAAATGCCGAATGTATTATAAAGTGGAAAAAGAAATGCCTTTGATTTTAAAAAATCGCAATCACTGAATTATTCACGCTTCTGTTGTATTTTAGCATCATTGATATTGCAACTGCAGGCTGTTCTGAGTCACGTGCATAGCCTCTACTTGCTAAGCCCTATTCCCTGCTTTCACACGACGGGGGTGATCTTCACAAAAGTGGAAGGGTGAATGCGAATATCTGGGGTTCACAACCAGATTGGTGGACATTCTGGTCTACTTAGGGGAGCTGGAAAACCCTGATTCCAAACCTGTGGTGCACACGGACTCCAGAGTCAGAAAGGATCGAATGGCGTATGAACCCGTTTTAGTCACCGGAGGCCATGGAAACGCAACTGCTGTTGCTGCTTTACTGTCTTGTTTATGAGGTTTCAAGTCAAAGTGTCAGGGAGGTGGTTGTCACCTTAGGCCAACCACGTGATTCGGTCTGGGTGTCCGGGGAGTATCGCGACTCTCGCACAAAGTATGAGATTTTGTGTGGTGCATCTCTTGGTATTCATGATGTACCAAGTTCGCGTTTTAATAATAATATATCATAAGTATCATGCATATTTTTTCCTCAAGTTAACGCTTCATAAATTAGTGTTTACGGGTAGAGGAGTTTCAATGCCACTCATTCCACAGTGAAAAGTTTAATTTAGTTATAAGCCCTACTTAAAAGTTGTAAAAATCATTGTTTCATGTCCTTATGGGAGTATTTTTTATTTGGTGCTAGCGTATAGCCGACGCTTGAAATCTGTTTATTCGATGTTTTGATAATTTCAATAACCCACGTATCGTTTAGTGTACAATTGCCTGATTCTTTTCTCTACTACATCCCTACTTATATATCGCAGACCTGTGAAGCGTTATTCTGTCAATGACTTTCGACTTCTAAAAGTTTTGGGTAAAGGTACATTTGGAAAGGTGATTCTATGCCAAGAAAATGAAACAGGTCATTTTTATGCGATGAAAATACTAAAGAAATCTGTACTGATTGAAGTAAGTTAGAAATTATAATGTATGATTTTTACCAAACATTTCCACTTACATATTCATACACTTTACAAAATCTCAACGATACTTTTTGTCATCAGAAATTGCGTAGTTGTTCCATTACTTAATGAGACTGTTTATAGTTGTTTCCTGTCTCATAGCATATTGTCCGGCTATATATATATATATATATATATAAACTTATTTGGAGTTTGTATTACAGATTTTGTGTAGGAAAGCGACAAAAGCTTAGCAATTAACCCATCAAGCTCAGAAAACACAAGCGCACCAAAATCATATACTTGAGCTACAAATCTCTATGTATATGAACCCCTCATTATATTAGCACGTTTTAGTGGAAGCCTTTCTAATGTTCACTACCCTAATTTGCTGAAGTCGCTAAAGTAGTCAAAGGAAAACGCTAGAACGACAAACATCTGAATTAGCCCGGAAGTTACTTACAATTGGTTCTCTTGACAAATTTTAGTAAAATGGGCTGCAGATCTCTTATATTGTGTGGAGATTGCTCAAGCTGAAGTGGGTATAGCGAGATTTGAACTTGGGGTGTACTGGCTGAAAGTTGAATGCTGAAGTCAATAAGTCATATCAACTCCGGATACTTAGAGTTAATAATTGAAAACTTTTGTTGATGTGGTTCAAAGTAATTTACAATAGCTCAGATGTATTCACCTATCTTAATTGGAGTTTTCTTTTATACATGCTTTGCTCATTGTTTTTTTTATATTTCTTTACGCCCCCAGTAGAAACATAGGGCTTCACGGTGCAGAGTCTTCTGAACACTTTGAGCAGCAATCTCCGTATGTTTGGCATGCGATTCGCCCCTACAAAATGTAAGATGCTGCTACAGGACTGAACCACGTCAACTCCTAACTTAGTGATAGGGAGTGAAGTGATAGAACATGTTGACCACTTCACCTATTTGGGAAGTTGTATTAGCACCAACGGACTGATCGGCGATGAAATCTCAGCACGGATCCGAAAAGCTCGAGCTGCTTTCGCTGACTTACACCATCTCTGGCGTAGGCGTGACATCCGGCTATCAACCAAGGGACGTGTGTACTGCTCAGCAGTTCGCTCCGTCCTTGTCTATGGCTCTGAAACATGGCCAATACGAGTTGAAGACATGAAAAGGTTGACTGCTTTCGATCATAGATGTCTGCGATCTCTGTCTCACGTTAGGTGGTTTAATAAGGTAAGGAATGTTGACGTTAGGCGTAGTGTTGGGCAAAGAGGGAAAATCAATCGACGAGGCTATGAAGTTACATAGATTGAGATGGCTAGGTCACGTGCTGCGCATGCCTAACCATCGCCTCCCCCGACGGGCTTTGCTAGCTGATATAGGTGAAGGTTGGAAAAGAGACAGTGGTGGCCAAACAAAAACATGGCATCAATCCATGAAATCCTTGACAGTTAAACTGAGTCAGGTAGGGAGATGTAGACTCCCGGGTTGGGGGCCTCGGGACTCTAAGAATCAATGGCTGGAGACAATAGGTGACATGGCTCAAAATCGTTGTCAATGGCCAGCGCAGATGTATTCAGTCTCTGTAATCTTTCATATTCCTTTCGACCATTACCCATTCTGTTTCACTCTTATACTTGTCAAACTCTATTGATTCTCTTCACTCATCTTCTCGTCTACCTCTGTGTGCTATTTGGAACGTGGCAACTCGAACTGCTGCACTTCGGTGCCAAGTTCTACGTTGGATCCAGACAGACAGGGCTTCACGCTAGAGGCTTGAAGTTTCTATAGCAGTGGTGTTGATTTTTTACTGGATGGGGTTTCTAGCCTCATGCCCAACCTTTCCTCTTTACCAGTCTTGTTGCTGGCTTAGCGAGCTGAAGGAGTACGCCGGCTGGGGATCGAACCCCGGACCACCTGCATGGTTGGCGAGCATTCTACCACTGTGCCACCGACGCACTTTGCTCACTGTATTATTCCTCTGTCTTTACTTTTATCTGTTTTATTTGTTTGCTTTGGGAATGTAACTTTTCTATTATAATTTATTTTTATTCCACAATAGAAAGAAGAGGTTGTTCATACAATGACAGAAAACCGAGTATTACAACAATGCAAACATCCATTTATGACTGCGCTGCGTTATTCATTTACTACACCGAATTGTTTGTGCTTTGTCATGGAATATGTGAATGGTGGTGAATTATTTTTCCACTTGCAAAGGGATCGTATCTTTTCAGAAGAAAGAGCCAAATTCTACGGGGCTGAGATTACACTTGCACTGGGTTATTTACACAATCAGAATGTTGTCTATAGGTATATATTAAGTGGATTCAAGATTCATTTCAAATCCCATTGTATATTAGTATCTATCTATGGATTTTCTCGGTGTATAGTTTAGCTTTTGCATTTCTTTTCATATTCAGTGGAACATGACTATATCCAGACAGTTGTATCACTTAAGAAAATACCTGAAAATGGTAGACTCTATCATTGTGTGAAAACTGTCTTCAGGTTTCTTTTTATGAAGATATTTTGATATTCAAAAGCGATAATTAAATGGCAGGAATTAGAGACAAGCTATCGTAAAACTTGATACTAGCTTTACATAAGTACCTGTTTTCAGGATCATTTTCAAAAGTACTTTATTGCGTATGCACCCTAAATCAATGATGTTGCACTTATGTGTATACTGTGAACTGGAGCGGTTGTTAGTTTTAGAATTTCATTCAGTTAAGTTAGTGGTATATGCATATATACACCAGGCCTATCTGTTTTTGCTAAAAAGTAACTCAATGAAGTGGGTGCGCAGTAGTACTCTTCCAAAGTAGATCTAAGTACACCTGGTTGATGTGTCCCACATAGAGCGAAACCGCGTCTACCACTAATCATAAAATACGTTTTACAGCTCTGAAATGGTTTAGCAACTTATGGTTACTCTTACTTCAATAGCTGGCATTGGCTTGTATTCTTCACTTCATTCGCTGGATAGTCTTCAAGGATAAATAAATAAAAGTAATCGTTTTCAGTGGTTAGAAAACGTCTTTATTTAACTGTAAGTATCAAATAGTTAACATTTGCATTTCTTGAATTGACGTAAGTGTTTGCTGTCTCTACGGTACTGATGTTTACATCTTAAAGTATCACAGTCAAATCGATCATTGTTTATTCGATTGGGATTGAAGTAGGACTAGAATTGGCAGTTTTTAGGGTTGCATGAGTGACTTTAATAACGTTTAGAATGTAATTTTCTTCAGAACATATCATTGCTTATATTAAGGAAATTACATGAAATGTTTGTATCTCTTCTGTTCTATAAACATACTTGTTAGTTGTTTCCGTTTTTGTACGGAGCCGTGAAAAATTGACTGATACACACGGCTGTGGATTTCATTCTTCCATTAGTACAGCAACTCACTCATACTATACTGCAATTCAACAACCGTATCCATCTTGTTGAAATGAATGACACGTCTTATGTAAAGATAAATAGTGTTGTCAGATTGTGAAAACTTAACTAAGTTGAATGACCTACCTGTTGAAAGTCAAGTTTCCAGACGATTGGACCACAACTTCAGACTTTCGGTCGGATCTAAAACGTTTAAGCTTATCTGTGTAGAAGGGGTACATACTAGTGTTCTCATGAGGTGTTTCTAGTGGATTACGTAGCTAGTAATATGGATTCACGTTCAAGTGTATTTAGAAATACATTACCGTAACTAATATTATCGTATTCCTTTTTTTTGTCAGGGACCTTAAATTAGAAAATCTATTATTGGATAAAGATGGACACATAAAAATAGCTGACTTTGGTTTATGCAAAGAAGACATGTACTATGGTGCATCTACAAAGACGTTTTGTGGTACTCCTGAATATTTAGCGCCTGAAGTTCTGTTGGATAGTGATTATGGGCGTTCAGTCGATTGGTGGGGTCTTGGTGTTGTAATGTATGAGATGATGTGTGGACGCTTACCCTTTTATTCTAGTGATCATGAGGTTTTATTTGAGCTGATTCTTCAAGTGAGTTAGATACCAATAAACGTTTTGTCGTTGTTTCTCAAATCATTTCATCCAGATTTTATTTTGTTTTGTTTTGGTAGCGTTTAACTGTAACCCCTGGGTCACCACACTTTGAAGCTGGTACTTCGATGCTAAATCTGTTGAAAAATATAAAAAGTATTGAATAGGTGTATACATTAATTTTATGCCCTGTATTTGTGGTATACTTTCCAATAGAAGAGTTAGGTCGTGTGTTTCCACCATTAATAGGTCCAGAGGATTCCATTAGCTTCTGAAGCCATTTACGGATATGATGTGAAGCCATTACTTACTCCCTATATATATCGCACATGTTTAAATTGCTGGATACAGTTGAATGTAACATCATTTTTAGTATGTTCTAAGGGCTTAGATATATAGGTTTCTTATTCTCAATTATTTCGATTTCAGCTGCATAAAACGTCCTTTTAATCACACCATTCAATCTTTGTGTAATTACCAAGCTTCTATAATTGATCACCTATGTAGTTTAGCTTGATACGTACGTCCTTCTTAGCGGCGAGTTGGCGAAAGGGTCTTAGTGTTCTGACCGCTTTTTATCTCCTGATGAACTTGTGTGGGTACTTATTATCAGCCAGAGTTTCTGTCAGTTTTCTTTCCTCATATTTAAATATATCCTCTATGCATATTCGTTAAATCCTACCTCGCCAAGACTCTTTTGTACCGAACAGGAGAGAAGCTGTGATAATTAAGATACTGTTATGTTCAGGTATGTTTTCTATAAACAGATGGTTGCATTGATCCATTGGGCCGTCAACTAAGTTATATATATTATATATCGAAACATAAGCAACTATCTTTCTCTTCCACACACGAAACATGTTATTTTGCGCTTCATTAATTCGATCTAAAACTGAAGTGGCAGAAAACGGACTGTCACTTATGATTAAAATGCCATCAACATATCTTCTATAAAGTGGTACATTTTCAGTTAAATCTTCTGATAAACTCTCGATGTGTAACAACAGAATGTTCAGATAGATATATTATTCTGTCGCTAATGCAGTATTGAACTGTAGAAATATGTGAGAGTAATATTCCGTTGGAACACATTGCCTGTATCACACCACCACAGATGTACGATTTTTAGATACCTAAAAGTCATCAACTTGAAATGTTTGTGTATGTGTTATTAGATATACAAAGATATTCTCTGTTACTACGCTTTAAAGTTCACTGAGTAGGGAGACCTGATCCTACACGTTAACGCTAATTAATATGTGCAACTATCCACCCTGTAGTTTGGCTTTGTATCAGTTATTGCTAACGTCACACCATTATAATTAAGAGCTTTATTGAACCTAGATATCTGGTTTTCACTGATTGAATTCTAAAGCTCATTACCCGATTACAATGTACTGTGGTCTTGTATCACTTAGTTGCATTGCAAATCTAATCGATAGATTTATGAGTGCCAAAGACTTGTGAGCTGTGTTGGTCGTCATGTAGTAAGAGGTTTCTTTTCACTGTCTAGTCTTACTTAAGGTAATCCGCGACCCATAATAGTTCATCAGTGAAGTTTTTGATTTCGGTGCTAGGTAATGCATATAAAAATGTCAGAGGAATGATTTAATTTTCCCTAAGGCTGCAAAGACGCCTTATTAATGAATGTCAGCATATACGAAGCATGAGTCTGAAACTCCTTTATAGTGGACCCCCAACGTTTTCTTCTTTCACCTAATAAGTGTGCTGTTAAAAAATTAAACCTCATCTGCTTTTTGGAGACAAAAAAATATTTGAATGTTTACATTAGGTCATTAAATATCATTCATGGATGTTCTCGTCACAGATACTAACAGTTTTGTTGATATCCACCAAATTTCCTACCTGTGATATATTAGAGATTTTCAATAGTTTTGATATTACATCGTTGTTTTCGTATCATTGTCCATACATATCTCACCCATCAGTTGAGCAATGCTAAAAATAAGTTTAGAATAAGATATGAAGCAAATCAGTTAATTGATAAGTTTTTCGGTTTATAGGGATTCAAATAGCTTAAAACGTGTACTGTATACGTTTCATTGTTCACGTCACTGCGCTACTTTATGGGGAGTGTGAATACATCATGTAAAGTCAGAATATTTTCTCTGTGCGTGGAGTTCTGTGCTGCGGTTAGTCAGCACTAGTTCAGCTAATGACCTGATATAAATGTCGGAGTTCGTGTATGGATTCTATGTTCTATATAATAGAGAAGTATTCGTATGCATATCTAGTGAAGTTATCATCATTTCACCAAGCCATTTCTATTCAAGGTCTTTCGCCAGAGATCGTGGTGTCCTATTGAAACTTGTCTTGGATTCCTCTGATTAGTCTTCCAAGTTTTCATGCAGCCCCTTTTATTGTTATTATTAATATTATTATTAAAACCTTTGTTGATCACTTTATGATATAGGAAAATGTCTCATTCCCACCACATCTTACACAACCAGCACAAGATATTCTGTCCAGACTATTGATTAAAGATCCTACCAGTCGTTTAGGTGGCGGAACACAAGATGTTCTAGAAGTTATGGCACATCTGTTTTTCGCGTCAATTGATTGGGATCGTTTAATCAGAAAGTAAGTATTATCAGTAATTCTTCATCCTTTTTTCATTGCTTGAGTTCCTAGTGGAACTTAAGACTTCAGTTTTGAGGTCTTGGAGTTTCAATAGTTGTGTTATTGTGGGTGTGCTAGTTTTACACCCAATCGTCTCTCTTTTCTGGGTTTGCTATCAAGTAGTAAACTAGTTAAGGTTAAGAAGTGCAACGGCGAGGGAACCTGGATCGCGTACATTGTTGGCAAGTATTCCACCACTACACCATCAACACATAACTCCTTATTCTACTGTCGTACAGTCTATTCAACAGATCAGTGATTTTTGTATGGTTATATGTTTTAAAGTTAATATTTGGAGTTTCTTTAACCCCAACTGACTGTGTGAATCTAAAAAAAACTGTGCTAGAAGTCATAGTCAATGCCTTACACTTTTCACATTGCTTTTGAGCCGAGAGTTGTAGATAACATGTTTATGTTTCTCAATACGAAATCACTCAGCATAGTTTAAATTAGCAGTTGTATGCATGGTTCACATTTCGATGGGATGTCCAACTCATCTTGGTTACGATCTTTGCTTAGCAACAAGTAGTTTTGACTGACTTTCGCAAGTCAGAAGCACCAAGATTTCAACTTTACGCGATTTCAACGGTATCTAGTTGGAGGAAGATTACAGGATACAAGAAGAACTTATAGTAAAACGAATTTGATATCATCTTAAAAATATAAACTAGTTTTAGCTTAAAGACTGTTTGTTATCACAAGTCATAACACTGAAAGCAAATCAGCAAAGGGAAGCAATAAAATGCAGAACGAGTATATAGATTTGCTTGTCTGCCTGTCTATCTGTTTTCGACATAGAACTTTGCATATATGTGCGGAAGTTCAAGTCGCCACACTCCATGTAGCACATAAAGCAAGAGAAGAAGGTAGAAGAAATGCATAATAGAGACAGTAAGCAGAGGTGTGAGACAAAAGAATAATAGTTACGAAGAACAATATAGTTTCATTGGAAATCATAAGTCTCAGGGAGTCGATGCAGTTGTGCCATTGAGAACGATTTTGAGCCATGTCACCAATTGTTTCCAACCATTGGTTTTTACCGTCCCGAGGACCCCGACCAGGAAGTCTACACCTTCCTACGTGGCTTAGACTAACTGTTGTAGATTTCATTGGCTGGTGCCATGTTTTTGTTTGACCTCCGCTAGCTCTTTTCCAGCCTGACCCTATATCAGCTAACATTGTCCGTCGAGGAAGGCGATGACTAGGCATACGTAACACATGTCATAACCATCTCAGTCGCTGTAGCTTCACAGCCTCGTCGATTGATTTCCCCTGTTTACCTAGAACTCGACACCTAACCTCAATATTGCTCACCTGATTGTACCACTTCACACGGGAGATAGAGCGCAGGCACCTATTATCTATCAAAGACAGCTTATCTTTTCATGTCTTCCACTCTCAATGGCCAGGTATCACAGCCATGAAGGAGGACAGAGTGGACTGATGAGCAGTACATCCGCCCTTTGGTCGGTAGTCGGATATCACGTCTACGCCAGAGATGGCGTAAACTGGCATATGCGAAACTGGCTTTTTGTATTTGTGCTGAGATTTCGTCAGAGATCAACCCGTTGGCACTGGCTGATGGTACTTCCCAAATAAGTGAAGCGGTCAACGTGCTCTTGCTTGGGAAGATAGCTATCTTATTTAAACGTCAGAGATGAATGTTTGCCGTATTTATGCGACACAGAGTCAACAACTTCTTAGTTCTCATATTCCATGGTTGACGAACAGAATACCGACATTTCACTGTTTGTCTTTCTCTTCTGGCGATATACTCAGCTGCTTTTTAAAGCTGTATGTATCATTATTGAGATTTATACAACTGTTGAGTTATAAAATAGCTGGTCCACTAATTACATTTTGTTTTCTCATTCGGTGCAAAACTATGTTACATTTTTGTGACACTCACTTATTGTTGGTCGATTAAAATGTTCAGAACTCTTTTGCCATTTATTTGTTGATGTAGGGTATACATATATTTGTATTCCTCTGATAGGGCTATGTGAGTAACACATTTTGATCAAATGAACACTTTTTTGTAGGATTGTTACGTTCGTGAGCTGACGGATAAGTAAATATATTTAGTCTGTGTTTTAGAGTTGGAGTCTCTAGTTTTCAGCATTCAAAATTTAACTTTGGTGCTGGGGATGGTGCATATTAAAATTTCGCAGGAATAATCTAGTCTCTCCGTAGCCTTCAGAAATGTCCTTACTGATGATGGTTGTCAACGTGTGTGGAACTTTTAACCCCGAGGCTTCTTGGTAAGGAGATAATGAAATGACCCAACCATTTTAGTGCAATAAAAATTGTTACATAAATGACGATAGGCGGGTAGCACACATATTTGAAAATGTATTATTTTAGCTAGTTTTTTTCTATGTTTATACAGATCATTAATATATATGAAACAAAGTAAGGTATCTGTGGCTTTCACCCTCTTCTTTTTTGTGCGTGTTTATGGTGACTTAGCAACAAGTGCTGAAGTCACATGATTTGTGACGTAGCTGCACCTTTCGTTTATCTTTTCAAATAAAAAAGCAATAGTATCGTTTGCTATTAAATTGCTGAAACTCAATTATACCATGATTGCATTTTGTGGGGCAGTGAGCTTGTGCAGCTACATCGATTGAGATGGCTAGAAAATGTGCTGCCCATGTCAAGCACCTCCTTCCTCAGCGAGCAATGTTAGCTCATATTGAATCATCTGGGAAAAGAGTTAGGAGTTGTTAAACCAAAATCTGGTATCAATGTGTGTAGTCTTTGACAGTTGCTTCGTACAACTCGCGTAGGGAGTTGTAGACTGCTTGGTTGGGGTACTCAGGATTCTAAGAACCAACGACTAGAGACTACTAGTGATATGAGTCAAAATCATCCTCAGCAGCGCAGATGCATTCCCATATCCATCAAACTCTCATGTTTTCTATGTTACTATTCTTCCTCCGACTTATTTCTGTTGATTGTAGTTCTTTTGTATTATATATATATATATATATATATATATATATATATATATATATAATCTTATCTATTTTATCTTTCCTCTACTTTTGTGCCACATGGAGTGCATTTCTGTGCCAAGTTTCATATTAAAACTCAGTCATTTTGAGGTGGTAGTGAATATTGTTATTTATCGAATAGGCTGTTTGAGCTCATTTACCAGGATTAGATGCTTCATGTAACATATTTATTGCATAAGGTCAAATAATAACGTGTTTTCCGGACTGGAGTAGGTGGAGCGGTGGGATTGGAGAACCTGTTACCCAGTGACTGAAGGTCGAGTGCATCAGTCAACGAGCCACATCTCCACATTGCATATCTTATAAGCTACTGAAAATAAATTATAATTCATGATTAACCTAAATGGGGGTTTCCTTTTTACTCGATTGTTTTTCTCTACTTATAATATTTTTGCATCAACTTCATTGTGTTCTTGTTCATATATTCATTCACATTGTAGAGATATTCAGCCACCATGGAAACCAGATGTTATGGATGAAAAAGATACTAAATACGTTCCAGATGAATTTAAAGATGCATCAGTAGATCTTACACCACCAGATGATGAGGATAGTAGAAGTCAAATTGTCGATGGGCCATATTTTGAACAATTTAGTTTTCATGGTAGCCGACAAAGTTTGAATAGTAGAGTTAGTGGTTATAGTTTCGGTGAGGTATCTTGAACTGCTTTTTATTGTTCGTTTTTTTGCGACTATCTAATTCCCTCTAGCAGCTAAATATGTATTGATCTCACAACTTTTGTTTGAGATGGGAACAAGCCCCCGAAAAGAAAGAACAAATACAAAACAAACAAATCAATACACATGATTTAAGTTACTCGACATTACTTCTCTCTTTTAACACAGATAAAACCTAAACGATTATTCTTTCCATAATAATTGTGGCTTCATTGTGTTTTGCTCACTCATCTGATAAATACGTATTTATCTCTATAAGTCTTATCGAATTCTCATTTTGACATTGATAATAACTGTTTTAGGCCATTTATTATTATTTTTCATTATTATTGAATATATATTACAATATTTTCGGGTTTATTTATTACAACAGGTGTGATATTTCAATTATTCACCAGTCTAAGTAGTCATTACTACTGCCATTTATAGGTGTTTTTGTTTTTGTTGTTCTCGTTGTTGAATTTACCCTCATTTAGGCATCATGTTTATTATTCGACAGATTTTTGTCCTGTTTTTTCGTGATTATCAGCGGCAGTAACTCAGCTATCTCTCCATATCAATGTTTCCATTTTTTTCTTGCAGTGTGTGTGTATGTGTGCGCGTGTGTGTTATTCATCTCATTCATTCAACTGTTATCCTTTTGAGCAGTTTATTTTCTTCTAAAACGACCTTGTTTTAAGTATATACTGTACTTGATGTTATTTTTTATCAGTTAGTGTGGCTTCGCTGTTGTCTTGCGTTGTCAGCATCCCTTTTTATAGAAAGCTTTATGATCATCTGTCTTCTTTTTTATTTTTACTGTGGAACTTTATTGGCTTTTATTGGGAATGTTCCCCTTCATTTGCTCAGTGGTTATTTTTATTCCAAATATTTACATCACAAAGTTTATTTTATTTAACATCATACTTATAACAGATTTCATTATTTTAGTCATCATGAAAAGATTATGAGATTTATTGTAGTGTTTCTAGTATTCAATTGTATTATTATTATTTGCTTATGATAAATAAATAAGTTTCAGCACAAACATTATGTACGGTTTATTTTGTTTTCAACTGTGTATGTGTATGTTTTTTTGTTGGTTTGTTCGACTTTCTTGTAAAAGAATATATTCGCCTTGTTTTTAACAGCTACAAATTGATATCAGTTAGAAAGTTAGTTGTGAGCGTCAGCGATCCACTGCCCAACCGATATCTCCTACGTTCAGGTGTTGGCGAGGTTTGTATATTGCAGTGATCTAAAAGGACACACTTTTGATGTGGTTGTGTTCCCTGAGCTGGATGGTTAATTTGCGAAGCTTTCATCACCCTACTGAGTGACATCTTCAGCGCATACTTCAATTTGAAGTGAGCTTTTAGATTTCTCCACGAGTTTATTAATCATCTCTCCTGGTCACCTTCAACGTACTGATTGGTTGTTTTCGTGTGTTTTCACACCTTCTAGGTTACTTGTATTGGAGCTGATTGTTTCTTTGACTTGAACTTGTGTGTGAGGTTTCTTTCTTATCGGTTGATAAATTTTGTCTATCTCTATGTGTCTATTGATTGATGATTTACTGGAATGCCAAGCTTCTAAAAATTCTCTAGCATTCTTGTTGTTTCCTCTGTCTAATATTTGAACGTTGTCCCAGTCGAATTGATGTCCGTGGTTGTCTGTGTGTAGTGATATGAGGGAGTGGATATCATGTCTTTTGACGGCTACATAAAGGATGTCTCAGAAATCACTACAACACTCTTCAAACCTTTAGGAATTGATGTCGTACACAAACCAACAAAGTCGCTTCACTCAGTTCTATGCGAACCAAAAGACACAACAGTGAAAGAAGATAAAGCTAACATCACCTACAAAATAAATTGTAACAACTGCGAAAAACACTACACTGGCCAGAGTAGACGTTCCCTTCGTCTTCGTATCCACGATCATAAGCTAGCCGTCAAAAGACATGATATCCACTCCCTCATATCACTACACACAGACAACCACGGATATCAATTCGACTGGGACAACGTTCAAATATTAGACAGAGGAAACAACAAGAATGCTAGAGAATTTTTAGAAGCTTGGCATTCCAGTAAATCATCAATCAATAGACACATAGAGATAGACAAAATTTATCAACCGATAAGAAAGAAACCTCACACACAAGTTCAAGTCAAAGAAACAATCAGCTCCAATACAAGTAACCTAGAAGGTGTGAAAACACACGAAAACAACCAATCAGTACGTTGAAGGTGACCAGGAGAGATGATTAATAAACTCGTGGAGAAATCTAAAAGCTCACTTCAAATTGAAGTATGCGCTGAAGATGTCACCCAGTAGGGTGATGAAAGCTTCGCAAATTAACCATCCAGCTCAGGGAACACAACCACATCAAAATCATCCACCTGAGCTACAAATCTTCTCTATCATATCTTAAAGGACACACTACCTGAAATGCTGTTCCTGAAGGTCCCACCATGTCAGATGGGTCCTTCGGACAGCGGTCAGACTACACTAGTTGCCATCATTCATCGTATTCTGATTGCTATTTTAATCGTCTTCAACGATTTTACAATAGTGTTTCTTGAAACTGCATCAACTAGGAACAGTCTGTTGACCCCATATTTATTCCATTTCGCTTTATTGCACTTTCTTTTGCAGAATTGATCTCTCTTCAATTCGTATTGTGCTGCAACTCATCTGGAAGTTCGTTTGGTAGGTAGGTGGCCTGTTTGATAATTTCTATTTGTTTGTTTTTTTGGTACACAATGTGATGAATATGCGCATCAGAATCCTGAAAGAACAATTTAGCCTTAATGTTTGGTTGTGTGATGAATGGGATTGTCTGATTTGAGTGTGTCGTGTTGGATGTTTTTGATGTTGTGTGATTGATTGATTGATGTGTTGTTTAGTTGAGGTTGTTTGAGTTGTGAGGCGAATTTGTTACTGAAGGGTAGTGATCCGCCTAGTTTTCAATCTGATTGTTGTTGTTATCACTACTTGAGTTCCTAGAGATGAATTTCTGGTTATCGTAATCTTTTATATTTTGTTCATTCTTTTTTTGACAGAATAATTTCCGTCAAATAGTTGTCGTCAACTGTAAGTTAAGTTGTTTTTTTGTTTAAATAATTGTTTCTAGCACTGTTAATTCGGCGATGATTTTGATATTATTCGGTTCTTTGGATGATGAAATTTTGTTTACAGCTGTGAATCAAATATAGGTTTGTATTGCATGCCTTCGTGTGAGAGTTAGATCTGTTCTACTGCCGCTCGTATTTCGCCCGGGTCAATAGTTTTCTACATAATTCCTTACAGAAATTTGTGTGTAGTTTGTTGAGATAGTGTAAAATGTTTTGAGTAGAAGAAGGATTTTATTGTCAAAATAAATTATCAGCTTCGAATGTCTTCTCCACAACTGCGGGCACATCGTTTTGACTTAATGCCTGTTGTTTCCGGTGGTCACCTTTGTCCTAAGTAGAGCGGTAAATTAGTTGCTGTGATTAATGTATTTCATTCTTCAGTATGGTTGCGTGTGGATTTAGTTATGCGTAATTGTTTGTTTAACACTAGTCAGCAGTTACAAATGAGTAATGCATTTCATCTACATCTGCCCTTAACGTATAAATACCTTCGAAATTAATTCTTTGCATTTTGCTAATCGATATGTTGTTGGTAGTCTCGTAGTTACTGACGTCAGAAACGAATATAAATTATTCATCTGTAAAGTTGGATTGATTATTTTTTTAAACATTTACATTTCTTCTCTTGCATTTATATTGACGTGATTATGTGGATTATCGATTTTTTTAGGTGTATTTATTCTTCAAAGTCATCTAATTGCATCATGTTTTTTATAACTTTATTGTGTGTAGGTATCATGGGATTTGTAATGAAGTTCCCTGTACGACTTTTCAATTCTTTTAGCAGTTTATCTCTCAAGTCAGTGATGGTATGTCCATGTATTGAATTCTGTGTTACACAAAAACCATTTTTTGAGGGAAACAACTTTTTGTAACTGCTAAAATTTTGCTGGGTATTTTTAGTTGAGAAATCGGCCTTTGAAAATACTGTGAATTGCTCGAGAAAACTGAAAAATTCAGAAATATTTTTGTGAACTAACACTTAAAAGAGCAGAAGGGATATTACAGTAGGGAACGTATGTTTGTTTGGAATGAGTTCCCGGTGTTGTTCTTTCATGTGCCTGATTATCAGCCATACGTGTCGTGTAAGAGTTTATGTTTCTACCCAGTTGCACAGGTTGAAATAGGTGGGACGGGGTTCGCACTCGGGACCCACTGTCTGGAAGTCGGATGGTTAAGCCGACGAGCTCAGTACAAAACAGACTCCAGTATACGAGATAGGTTGCAATGTTTGGCATACTTTGTGACATGAAGGTTGCATTATTTTCATTGATGACGAAGTATTGCTGAAATGATTCGTTGTAAGGAAAATACCGAGAAAATATATTGTGTTAGCCAATGTACTTCGCCCGAATACAGCCAACTGAATAAGAGCCCATGAAGTGTTTGTCGTAACTGGCTGTAAGTGAAGTTTTAGTGTGGTTGTTTTAATGGAGTGTATTTAACGTATATAGTTAGAGAATTGACTTGCTCTCAGTAGAATAGCTCATCGACCCCAAGTTATGATGCTAACAAAATGTAGGTTTTCTGAATAGTCTGTGCGATATTTTGAATATAGTCGTCATATGGGTCTCTGTTATTAACTATAATATTGTGTCGCAAGTTTGATCTGAACCAATTTTCGTATTTTAGAGAGAGAAATAGGCAATATATATATATATATATATATATATATATATATATATATATATATATATATAGGAATTGTATCAGCCCTAGTGAACTATTTGCTTACGTAGTCTCAGCAAGAATGTGGAGCTTGTGTATTCTCAGTCGGTCAAAACGCTTACCCAAGTTCTCCTTGTTAAGGAATTATGATTCTTAATTGTATTCGTTTCAAATCTATCACCTAGTGCAATATTTTTTGTTTGCTGAAGCCTCTACGATGTCAAAGCCCTGCGTGTCCTATAACACTACTAACCTTCGCAAAGATCAACTTAACAGATTCTCGACACTTTTGTTCATCTGAAGAAGGAAAACCTGAGAAGCAAGTTGCTGAATTAGTAAAAAGCAGTCGTATTGTCTTGTTTATGAAAGGAAATCCCAGCGAACCGCGTTGTGGCTTCAGTAATGCTGTTTGTCGTATTCTTGAAATGCACGGGATTTTAGAGAAGGCAAGAAAAGGAGATGATCCCAAATTATTCGCATCATATGATGTCTTAGAAAGTGAAGAATTACGAGCTGGTGCTAAGGTGTTCGCTGACTGGCCTACTTTTCCTCAAGTTTATTTTGACGGTGAATTCATTGGTGGATGTGATATATTTTTGGATATGCATCGATCTGGAAAGTTAACGGAAGAACTAGAACGTCTTGGTATCGGTTCTGCTTTGAAAAAGGAAGAAGAAAAAGCATAATCTATGTCATCAAATATTTATACTTTGTACAGTACTTTTTTATAGTGAAATTTGTAACACATTGTAATACCTACAGTTAGTTTTATTTTGCATTACACTAGTCGATTAGTTAAATGCTTTCACCTCTTGAGTTAGGTTACGTACATTCATCAAAGTACCTTGTACCATAGTATATATCACGTTGTACTCTATTGATGAGACTATTATCCTGTGGATTTACCCGAAAATATCGCTGTTTCACGAAACAAATATTTCGAGTACTATAGACATTCTCGTTATCATTACATACTTATTAATTTTGGTATGCACAACGAATGTTGCATTTGATGTAAATGAGTGCAGCTCTGTACTACTAATGCTGGGCTACTTTTTGTACAGTGAATCTTAAACCAGGTTTTGTTCATCACAGAAGTTGTAAGACTTGTTTGGCCAAATAAACTATTCTTGGTATTTTAAATACTAACAAGTTGCTGACAATATATATATATATATATATATATATATATATATATATATATATATATCGTTGTAATGACGTTCCACGTCTCCATTCTTATTCTCGCTTTTATGGAGAGAGGACACCTCGGCTGACTGACTGGCTTCCCTAAGGCTTTCACCAGCACTCTGTGTCATTTTACCACTCCTATTCAAGCGGGGAATAGGTTTGTTTTCTGAATTTTTTGCATATTTTTAAATATATTTCCTGTGTGTTGAAGTTTCTCTAGAAGTTTGATACCTTTTGTGGTGTAGGGCCGGTAGTCACACGCTCAGTCCTCCCTCTCTTTATCGGGGCTTGGAACCGGCTGGAAAACTAGCGAGCTGCTAAACTGGAAAAGGTTAAAACTGAAGAGCCTTTGAACAGCAACCCTCGTTGATATACGGGCATACCCGCCGGTAGGCACTAGCCCAATTCATGATGTAAAGTGCTTCGTGACAGATGAAAAGCCGACCTGCATATAGACGTGGACACAGGATATCCCTTAGCCGCAATCTGTATTGAAGATGTCGATGTTCAAAGCAATATGCAGTTAACATTGATTCAAACAGATGGCTGTATTCTTCGTCGACACACGAACCGAATGATCCACCACCACACCAGTTTCCCAGATGCATAGAACTAAAGGTGCGAGGCTACAATCCGGGAGCAAGTCTACGAGGCCAGCGTGAATGGAGTCCAATGCGAAGCCAGGTGCATACGAGTCAGCAATCCCGTGAATGGCAAGCCAAACCAGATCGTTTAAACAGTGTAAAGGTGGGGGGTGGGGTAAACATTATCAGGGCAAGGCGCGTGCATATAACACAGCCTCCTTCAAACCTTGCACACAACCGTTAGATCACATACTGTCCCATCGCCTTTGATAGGTCTGGCAACAAGAGTCACGAGAACACCATCAGGTACCCCTATACTGGTCAGAAACTTGGCGGGTCACGAAAAAGATTTCCAACAAGTTTCATACATTTATCAACAGCTGCCTTCTGAAAATCAAATGGCCAGAAAAAAGTAGCAACAACAACCTATGGGAAAAAACCAAGCAAGAACCTATCGTTCAACAAATATGTAGAATAGAATGGGAATGGATTGGGCACACGCTGAGGAGACTTTCGAATGACATCGCAGGCCGGGCCCTCGAGCGGAATCGAATGGAAAACCATGAGTGGGTTGATTTAGGGTAACGTGGAGAAAATCGTGCGAAGAGGAGATAAGAGATCATGGGCAATCGTGGACGCAGCTGAACTGGACAGCAGAAATTATAAGAAAGTGGAGATGTGTTGTTGGAGCCTTTCATTCAAAACCCAAGGGAATAATAATAAATCATGGCTCTCTGGTTGTTTACTCCAAATGCGATTTTGCAGTGATTCTCTGACTAATGTTGATATGCGACGAAATGTACTTGGAAATATTGATGAAGTTTAATTGACGTAGGTCTTAATAAATTGACAGTAAATTCATAGCATCAGACTTTAATTAGACGGTTAAAAACTTGGTTTCTTTTTATCAAATAATGTTAACAGGGAAATTCTAATCTGCATGGTTCAAAAACATACTGTTATAATGCGTCACCGGTGACATTTAAAAATACATCTTCATTACTTATGTCAAAATTACTGTTGGTTACCTTTTGTACATCCCCAAGTCACTTGTTTTTTGTTCACTATATAATTCCTGATTCTGGAATAAAAAAGTATTTACCGTGAACAAAATGTAGCGTATTGATGATGTGTTTTGTTCTGTTATTATCGATAGTCAAACATTAACAATAAAATAAGACGATGGTCTGAAATGCTACGATTATGAAGTCGAGCGGGTGTATACATTGCTGTGACAACAACGCTTATTGTAGCTTTGCAATGTTAACGTAATGAAATAAGTAATATATTATTTAGATATTTGGAATTAATTTATGAAATGTTGGTTTACTGGGATTTGATTGGCTAGAGGTTCGATCACGAGTTGACATCAGTTAGGGAACCATTGAAAAACCTGAGAGTATTAAAGAGCTGTTCCGTCCCTCATCAAGTACACACCGCCAGATTTTGAACCCAGGAATCTCTGGTGATAAGGCGAGCCCGCAGACCAGAATCCAGCACTTCCTGGTTTTCCAATGGTTCTCTAACTAATGTCAACTCATGATCAAGCCTGTAATTAGTTTATGAATTGGAAAATTTTTTATGAGGTATTTATTTGGATGGCTTCAAGGTTCTCTCTGGTATTTTACAGTAAGTATTGTTTCAGAATAATATCCAGGCCTCAGATTTCAAAGTTAAACATTATAAAATTGCGTTTTCATGAGCTTATGCTGCTATTTGCAGCTTAACATCGCATCAGAAATGTTTCGTTTTTACTTGTATTCAAATGGCGATCATTGAAATTGGGGTTATTTAGGCAATACCATATCATCATTCATGGAGTCTCTGGTCCTGAGAGGAGTGTTGCTAAATTGTATGTTGTTTTAGTATTCAATATTCCTATTTGTATGAACTCTGTTCATTTATACGAACAACTATCTATTTGTTGAATTGAATTTTTGATTTTCCCGTCGATTGATTCTCCAATCAATCGACGGGAAAATCAAAAATTCAATAATTAGTATGACCCGTTGCACAAGAGGTGGCTCTCGTGGCCCAAGTGGTTTAGTGGGTAACGCTTTGGCGTTTGAAACTATGGGTACTGGGTTCGAGCCTCAGTGGGAACATCATCACTCACTGAGAAATGCAGGTACATCCAGATGACGAGTCCCAAGTAGGGCGAAATGCGCACCTGGATTCCACTGCTAGCCACCATCCACCAGTTGTATACTAACTATCTATTTGAACTATTTTAGTAAACAGCTGTGGCAAAGCCATACTTTATTGCCTCTAAATAAACCTCTTTAAGTAAAGTATTGATTTTAGGACAGTATATAGAGCGAACAGGTGTTTTCAGTAATTTCTCTGGTTTTCCAATTATAAATCCATTAATGTCAACATAGAAATAGCCAGTAAAGATAAATCAAATTTTACTACAAACTGTGCTGTAAAAAAATACATGATGAAATGAATAGTCAGTTGATTCCCGTTGTCTTTTAAGTACATTTAAAACGCATGATGAATGAAAAGTACTAGATAAAATGACACTAAACAGTTGAGTGACATGCTTGTAATTCAAAAAATCCCCATATTCAGAGCCAGAGAACTTTTCTGGACAGACAGTTGTTTTCAATAAATCCATGAATGTTAGAACACAAATAGCCAGTAAAAAGCTTTTATTCCTTCACATTCCCAGTGGAACACCGGGCTTAAGCGTTGAAATTGCAGTAGCAGTGGTTTTATTTTCACTGGGTGGGGTTGCTGGCCTTATGTTCAACGTTTCCTTATTAGTGGGTTTACCACCAACTTATTGAGATTTAAGGGTATGTGTTATGTACTCGTCGCTAAATTGTTATGTACTGGTCGAGAATTTAATAGTCCTGACGCAAGAAGGCGGAAATCAGAAGACCACTAGGTTTGCGATGATACTTCTATTTCCAAACACAAGGAGAAGCAATAAGTGGTATCACACCAAAGTAAGTCACACAAATTGTGAGAGCGAAATATATATGACAAGGGTGTGAACAATCATTAGACAGTCTTAACATGAATGGCTAATTATAATGAAGTATCGATCCATATATACATGGCGAAATATAGCAGACATGTCAACAACCACACATATAATATGGATATCTGTCACCAAGAAACGGACTGTCAACAAACACTCATATTATATGTAATATAAGGGGAATATACATTGTTAAAGGAGACAGGTTCATACAAGTGAAATGGTCACAGACTAAGCGAGCAAACAGAAAGAGAGACCAACATACACACACACATAAATATATATGTGTGGATACGTATCAGTATGTCAGGCGGGGACCAGTCCTCGGACCACATGAATGGCCGGCACCATCGACACACAATTAATGAAAGCTTAGTGCGTCGGTGGTACAGTGGTTAGGACTCTGGTTAAACTAAATCCCAGTTCCTTGAAGCAACTGCGTGACAAAAGCAGGAATGTCTTATTCTATGAAGACCGGAGCAGCCGTTAGATTGTCAAGAACGTTTATCTAAGAAAAGCCTTGTCCATCAAGCTGTGGACTACAGCATCTAAGATACCAATACTGAAAATCCACCTTCTTTTGAATCTCGCCCCAGCCAGGAAAGTGTTTTAGAAGAAGCAGAACAGTGCCAAAGCCCGTTCTTAACACTGGGATCATATTCACTGATCAGGTCAGGGCTAATTAGTAGACGTATAAAGTTATGGAAGACAAGAGAGAAGATAAACGTTACGTGCCGATGTGTTCAACTACTGCAAGAAGTAGGCCCTTAGAGCGATTTCTTGCCGATCACCAAACGAGGTTATAGCTACATATTTGGTTGTGTATAGATCCTGGAAACTGGCGTACTGCCGATGATTCCCAAACTAGGATGAAACAGCTGCCCAGTACTCTCTGGTTTCCAATGGTTCTCTTAGTTATATC